AAATGGAACAAGTCGTCATCAGCGAAACGTTAAATTGCCTGTTAAAATAAAGCTATAAACGTTTTACGAAAGTGCTAATAAATTCTAATTTTAAAAGAAGCGGATTTCTATTTTATTCGTTCTTTCGGGATATCCACAACATTTGCAACGATCGATCATTTTCTGTTACCTTCTTTTTAACTTTTAATTAATAGCATGTTCGCTCATTTGCAATAATGATGATGATGAATCCTCCGCAATTATTTCACGGTCGTTATTGCGTCGATTTCGGTCACGCCGCTCTGAACGCGGATTCAATTGCATAACTATATAATTTGCGTGTAATCAAATTGTAGTGGATCTTTATATTGTTACTACGTGTTTTATTTATACTGGATATTATACTCCAGTTTATTTGAGCTAAATAAATTAGTATAATAAAAATTTATTTGCAACACTTCATGGTAGAGACAAATTTATGATGGATTTTCATATAATATAATCTGAAAATACCGTAGAAAATGATACAAACATATAGATTGTTCAAATAAGAAAATTAGGTAACATTTAAAAAAATCTATGCGTATTGATGACAGTTGAATTGATTTGTAATTGGTTTGTTTGCTATTTTTTTTAGGTAACGGTACGATCGATTTCCCCGAGTTCCTGACGATGATGGCCCGCAAGATGAAAGACACCGACAGCGAGGAGGAGATCCGTGAAGCTTTCCGGGTGTTCGACAAAGACGGTAACGGTTTCATCTCGGCGGCCGAATTGCGCCACGTCATGACCAACCTTGGCGAGAAGCTCACCGACGAAGAAGTCGATGAGATGATTAGGGAGGCGGACATCGATGGCGACGGTCAAGTCAATTACGAAGGTAAGATCACCTAACCGGCGGTTAGCAACTAGCAAACACGTAGATCGAGCGGAAGGGACGAGAGAGTGAGAGAAGATGGATTTTGCGTTGTTTGTATGTGGAAATTGATGGTTGTCGAGCGAATGAGGGACGAGGACGAGAGGATATGGGCGTGGCAACGGTATCCTCTGCAGCGCGTTCCCGCTGTATCGATTAGTCGTCGCGCCCAATGTCTATATATCCCGTCCTCCACCTAGTTGTATGTCGTCCACCCTTAACTCTTTCTCTCCACAACTCTGTTTTTAAATAGTTGACTTATAGTTTTTGTGCCATTACCTCAAATCTCTGTAGTCGCTGTTGGAACATCCTTTCTTTATATATATATATACTTGCACACCTAATACCGATTTAATTCTCCGATTAAAGTCCACGTTAACAATAATTTAGCAATTAGTCTATACTAGTTTATCTTTGGGAGCTAGGTTTACTCTCGGTAGTGTTGTTCTCTTCCAGATTTCCGTTCGCTTGCAATGAATGTTTTCAGTCGGTATTCGGCTACACAAGCTTCAAGCTGGTCAGTCGTAGTACTAGAGTAGTACATGTGTAGACTTTCATGTAACGTTCAATAGTCTCTGTTTAGTGTTCGATCTGTAATTTTTGAGCTTCCTGTTTGATCGTAAAGTCCATGTACTACTATATTTATTGTGTATATGTATATACTTATTAATACCGCTACAGTTGGCATGCCTGTGTCTTCTATTCGGAATGTTCTGTGATGTGGGTTGCATAATTGTCCATGTTCGCATTCCTTTTTCCCGCCTTTTTTTTAAACTCTAATTGAGCAGAAAATTGTAAGTCAACTAATTAAAAAGAAAATAGCGGAGAATTGCTCAAGATTCCTTGAGCGCCTTCCTTCCATCTGGACCATTTTCTTTTTAAATAGATACTTCACATTTTTCACCGAAAATAACAAATTTCATTTACATCTTTCAATAATTTGAATCGATTAAAGACAGTAAAGTACATTTGTAATTGACGTAAACATTATTTGATAATAAATATTTCATTAGATTAAAGAAATTGGTTTTTCCAGTTAGTAATCATGCAATTATGACACTTTAATAACGATAACAATAATCTCAATCAATTTTATTAAGGAATGTTTTCTTATTAATCTTTTATTTATAAATTTGAAATGATAATGATAAATGCAGGGAAATTTCTTAATAATTTTAAAGTACAATTAAAATATTGATGTTTTACTATAAATATTAATCGATTTATTATTGAGGGAGAAAAATGATGTTGAAAATTTCAAAATCCTAACACATATTTTTTTTAATGATTATGTAAGTTTTCTTACATTTGAAACTTCAGCAAAAACCAATCCCTTTTGTCACATGCCTATATAATACATTTTTTTAATTGGATTGTAGAAAAGTGTGCGGATGATAATTAATGAAGATGTCTTGTTTCTGTTTTATTGTTGCAGAGTTCGTCACCATGATGACTTCAAAGTGAAGTGGTTGTGTGTATGCATTTCAGCTTTCCATTGTTTCATCCCGGCCCATTAATCTACATTTTTCAAACAACTGGAACTTTTTGCTTGGCTGCCGGGCCACACTAAAGTGAATAACATTAAAAAAAAAAAGGTTATTTATTTTACAAGACATGTTTAATTAAATAAAAATAATTATAAATTAAATATAATTGTGTAAATTTTTGTAATATATTTGTTTTCAATTGATGGTTAGTGTTTAGTACGGTGCAACAGTATATATTGAAGACAAAAAAAAACAGAAAAGTTTCAGTTCTCCTTCATCATGAAAAGATAAATAAATTAATAATAATACCAACAACAACACAAACACATATAATTATTAGTTTTTTTTCTTTTTCAAAATAAAAAAAAAACATTTAAGCATTCTTTACTTATTCTATTTTACAATTCTCTTCTAAATATTTCACAAAGTATGAAACAGTTGCTTCGTACTTACATGACTTAGTGTTATTCTGTCGGTGTTAGTTAGATTATTAAAATGAGAATAAAAAACTATAATGAACGTGTATAATGGGGATACAGACTGTAGCCACACGAAAGATAAATATTATTAAAAAAAAATAATTATATAAAATGAAAATACTGAATATGTTTCATACTTTGTGATGATCTTTCTATTTCTCTCTTAAAAAAAAACGTTTAATTGAAGAAAAAATTATGAAGATAAACGAGGAGTTTAAACAAAAAAAATACAACAAGAAAAAAAAAACAAGTTAGTTTATTATATAAATAACTAATTGAATTAATGATGTTTCGTATTTCTTGAGAGTATAATTATTGATAATGTGCACTTATTGTATCCCCGGAAAAGATTTAAAAGGAGAAAAAAAAATTATTATACAAAACAAGAGTTAGTTTAAACAAAAAGAAAATAAATAAATCTTTCTGTCTAGCCAAAACAAACCACAAAGGCTGCGGCTAGTTTATTTCCAATATATAAAAAAAAACGTTTAAATAAAAAGAAACAAAAAAAAATCTATTTATCAAACTATTATGTACATTTAGTTTTACGATTTTTCCTTGGAATAGTTAGTTACTATTTATCGAAGAATTAATTGAATGGTAAACATGAAAAAAAAAACACGAAAAGAAAGTAAACAACTTATATAATATAAATATATATTTAATGTGGAGTTATTATATCTTTATTACTACTATCATTCATAAATACAGAACACTTACTACTACATTTTTATTACCTTAAACTTAATTTATTATTTTTTTTTAATCTTAAGGAAAAATATCGGTTACATGTGAAATTATTAGATGTTTAAATTTGAAATAAATGTGACTGGAAATTTCTGGTTTATTCTCTTCACGTGCAAATGTCTTTCCTCATTCACTCACTCTTTCAACGTCGACGATTTAGCTCTTATTAATTAATTCCCAAAGCCTCCTTTTGCGAAATCTTTCTAGTTGACAGCAATAAAACGTTTTTAATTAAACATCTTTAATAAGTAGATCTTCCTGTAAGTGTATAATAACAGTAGTGAGTAGAATAGATTAGTATTAATATTTTGGATAGAATAGTTAGACGTAATGAGAAACTCAAAAAAAATGATGATTGACAGGAGACTTTAAATGACGTTCCTCATAGTCACCAATTCATTGGTTATAAAAAAACAACGGACAAATGTCCGATATTTCCTCATGTTTTAATGAAACGAAACAAAAACTTGTTGACTGTATATCTACAAATACTATAATTTATTTTCGAATCAAATATTACATTAACGCAGTGTATTGAAAATTTCGTCAAGGTCACTACTATATATTTTAGAATCTTCATAGTAATTGATTTAATGAAATAATGTAAACATAATTTTCAAAAAATGTATGTCAGATGAACTATTAAGCATTTAAGAAGGTTGCAATTATATTGAAGAATCTTTGGAGAAAGCTATCACTAGCGGAATTTAGATGTTCAAAGCATAATTGATTATAGTATGTGACAGTGGCATGACGTTTACCTGCGTCAAAAGCATTTTCAATCCAATTATATTATGACAGTTTAATCCCCCTATACGCATTCCTATATAATCCTGGCTTATAATTCCGCAAGGCAATTAAAAGAAAGTCGGATGGATTATTGGAAAAGGAAAGTATAAATTTAATTTATTTCATCTTTAATTATTTCTTCTTCAAAACAGGTAAGTTAATATTGCTATAATTGTTAAAATAGGTAACTTCTTAACTACACTTATATTACTTATATGTATTTTACGACAGGCGAACTTCATTAAATGGATTTATCTTTTAGCCTGGACTATATATACGGGAGGAAAAGCAAAATTGACGCCCCGAGGCTTTAGCCCAGTGTTTTCCTACCTTTTCCCCCACCTAAACCTTTATAAAATTCTTACGTCCCCCGAATGTATCATATACATAATTTTTAATATTAAATAACTTAATTGTTCATTGAAGAGTAGCGAGAGTCATCATAGGTTAAAATCTAGATCAGAGAAACCCAAACGTTTCCTGCTACGGAACACTTAATAAATTTTGATATTTTCACGGAACACCTACTATCTTTTCGCCAGTGTTCAGCGGAACATAGTTTGAGAAACCCTGCTCTAGACAAGTTCAATTTCCAGGTGGCCCTGGCTTGGACATTTTTTTTTTAAATTACTGTGTGTTTTCAAATGAGTATAGATTGTACATAACGCACTTTCAATACTTTAATAATTTGTGAAAATACATTTTGGGAAGTCTACTTATCATTAATATTTGTATTAATTCATGGTAGTATAGTAACATTGTCAATGTATGAATGTAACAAAAAAAAAATAATTTTATGAAACTTGAAAAAGTCACTGCAAATATAATAGAGCTGTTTCAGTTTAGATTTAATGATTTAATTAATTATATAATATGCAAGTTGTTCGATAAATTAACATATTAACAATATAAAATCGGTTCACTACATAACATTATAGATATACTTGTATATAAATCTGTTTGCATTTATAATTTAAGAAAAGGTTTAATATGAAGTATGTCGCTTTCTATTTGTTTTATCCAAGTTATATTCACTAATTGTTTTTCTAGGGGAATTAGCTAAGAGCTTATAATGTATAATTTATTTAAGGAAAAATGATACTTTTAATACTTTCTACATAATAATGCACTTTATATTACACTTAAATATTTCTTCAACTGAAAACTGTTTTATATTCTAACATTCACATTGCATAAAATTAAAATAAAACTAGCCCTTTGTATCCTCACCAAAATACGACATCCTAATAATCCTCTAAACAGTCCAACATCGCCTCCCTCTCTAAATTATGTGCTCCCTGAAACCCAAATATCATTCACAAATTTAAAAATCCCACAATATCCCTGTTCCAATACCTAATGTCCCTTGATTGAAACCGATCCAATTCCTACTCTGCTGCTTTCTTTTTTCTCCCTCTCATTACTTTGTTAGATGTATATATTTTTTTTATTGTTCTTTCATTAAATTATGTTCCCAGGCGGAAAGACCTCGGTCGATAGCTCTTTGGCCAGCCTGTTAATATATTTTTTTATTTTTATTTATGTTAGAATTTATTTATTTGTTTTGAGAATTGTTAGTATTATCATTTATTTATAGAATATATTCTTTCCTTTTTTATTTATTGATGTCTGGCCAATAAATTATTATTATTAATATAAAACTATGATATATAAAGAAATGTTTATTATTTACAACCTTCAAAGAAAAAAAAAACAATTCGATATACATTTAAAAAAAAATGTAATAGAACATTTATTTTTTTCAAGGTTATAATTTAAATAGCTGAAACAAATTGTTTTGCATTAATCAATTTAGTTAATAATAAATATATATAATAAATCTAAATAAATTCAACACTTGTAATCAATATTGGAATATTATATTCGTATTATCCAGTCTAATAATAAAACATCATAAATTTAAAAGGTTAATCAATAATCAATTGCCGTGTCCCAGGGATTGAATTCTGGACACAGTGGAATATTGTCTAGTGTTGTCGTTGTGGAGCTCAGTTGTTGGGAATTTAATGAAATTTGTTTGGTTTTATATAACTTTATTCGTTACTTGATCGATTTAAGATTCATCTTATTAAGGTTTTACTCTATCAGTCTTAGAAGGTTTTACTGAGACTAATTCTAAATACTTATTCTACTTACAAAGTTAATTTTTATTAATACGGGGTGGGAGTTGTGAACGGGAGTAGGGTTTGTATATATTGATATATATTCCCACGGGAATCGGCCTTGGTGGTTTTGTTTATTATAAGACCGCGACAAATTCCTATGCATTTGTTTATATGAAAAAGATGATTGATTACGATTGTTCGTGTAATGATCGTTATGTGTTTATAATAAGGACTTGAATTCGGTATAAAGGTATAGGAGTATCGATGTGAATGTTTACGCTTGATCCACTTTGTTTATATTAAAGTGTATCGAACTGGAATCACGGTAGAGATTCCTTTATGCTGATGTATATATTAATATAATAATGCGACTAAGAGACGCCGTGTATGTCTCAATAATAATGGTTGGACACAACACAATATTATGCATTAATCTAGTGGAATATTTATTTATATTTATCTTTATATATGTTATATTCATTAAAAATTCTCTCAAATTATCACATGACATTAAATTCACGGAATACTGTTGTGTCCAATCCAATAATTACTTAGTTATCAGTGGAAGATGCAGAATAAGCAGATTCCGCCGATGGCAGTGGCAGATTGATACATCCTTCATATTTTGATTACGGAACAAAGATGCAGAATCTATAAATTCCACAAAGGAGCGGATCTTCTTATCAAATCCATACTTAACTCCCACCCCCGTAGTTGCATAGTTAATCTTATAGATATAATAGGTATTTCTAATTAGTCTTATTAATAACGTTAAGCCAAGAACGTCTACATAATGACAATAAGGGAAGAACAACTACATATTATTAGTTGAGTTAATAAAGCAAACATAGTTTAACATTCAAGAATAAATCATAAATAAGAGACCACATCAGACAATATAAAACAACAGTCCACAGTGGGATATAACAATACAGACTATTAAAACATTATTTTTTAATATTCAGAAGTATGAAAATATCAAACATAAAGAACAATGCGAATTTTGAATGCTTACATTTAAACTAATCTAATGAAGCAGTTGAGCAAGTTTAGACAATTTGTTTATATACAGGGTGTCCAAGCAAGACCGGAATATCTAAATTTTAAATAAAACACACTTTTTTTTTAATAGAAAACACCGAAATTTTGATTTAATCGTAAGTAAGACATTTGGGAATTATGTATGAAACAATGCATCTGTTAAATGCCTTCCTCGGTTTTACTGGTACAACTGCAACTGGGACA